TTACCAAAGAAAAACTGCTAAGAAAAATTTTGACTGTTGTCTAAATTGTCATAAATTTTTACTTTTGTATGGATATCAAATGTTTTTGTTTAATAATTGTATTATTATGTTGAGATATAAGATGATGATGTACAATTCAGTCAGCATTCAGTGACTGAATGTGCCGCTGAACAAATGCCCTGCCAACAGAATGCTTTCAATATTCATTTTGGTCAGTGCTGACTGAATGCATCACCAATCAATGTGCTTCTGACTGATATTTTCAATGTGCTGTTTAGAAAAATTGTTATAAAAAGTTTTAATTCACAAAAAAATGATCTTATGTAATTCTGAATAACATTTTGAAATCCATTTGTTTCCATGCAATTTTATCTTTATAAGCATAAAATTAAGCCATAAAGTTGAATTAGCTCTATGGGGAAACTCCTGTGAACTTAGACCTATTGACCTGGAAGTTTTGTGGGCACATCACTGATAACAAGAAAGGCTTAAGTTTAAAATTTGAGCTTTTTAGACCCAGTACTTTTTCTGTATGACCATCTGCAGTGCTGGATGAAGAAAACGAAGAAGAAAATACAGCTTTTTTATGTGATATTTTGCACTTTTCAATTGCTTATACAGTGGTGCCTCGTATAACATATGCCTCGAATAACGGACTTTCTGTTTGACCGTTATGTGACTTGAGCAACAGACTTGCTGCGAACAACGGACTTTCTGTTTGGCAGTTACATGAGACAAACAATGGACTTTCTTCGAACAAGTGCGAATGATGTTTCCACTCTTTTGCCAATGACAATCTGCTATTTTTAGGATATATTAGTATTATTAGAATGTATTATTAGTATATCTGAAGTAGAAATGTAATGTAATATATGTTGATGATTTAATTAAATAAACATTAAATGTAATATAATACAGTATATGTTGGCAATTCAAATAAACGAAATGTAATTGTGTAGATGCCGAGGTGGCGGGACGAAAAGAGGTTGTAAAAAACAAACGGAGCGAGAGTAGCTCGTAGAAGTGTTTAGTGATCTTAATTAATAAAGAATTATTCGTATCATATAATCTGGCAAGTTAAGTCATTTATAATGCATCATGGCTTCTAAAAAAAAAAACAGAAAGGTGATTTCAATTGAAACAAAGCAAGAAATCATCAGGAGTGAAAGTTGACAAAAACTTTCTTGTCGAATGGGGAGAGGTTCAGGAGTTTACCAACACTCATTATCCAAACAGAGCTGAGGCCAACAGGATCAATGATCTCTACGATGACACCTTTGTCCGTCATTTCCGACAGGTGTTAAAGAAGAAAGAGAAACAGACCACCTTGGTCATGTTTTTCAAGAAGCCAGCGGGCAAAAAACAAAGGATGGAACAAGAGAAGTTGACCCTGCAAGTTCCGGTAGCCTCTCCTGAATCTGACTCCGATTAAAAAACAATAAAAAAAGACCCGCTGCAATGTGTAAAAAGTCTGTATCTGTATGAATGTGTAAAGAAAGTGTTCTTCCACCTCCTCCTCACAACATCTGACTACCCGGCATAATTGGTGTCTGCTCCATTTTCATTTTTTATGGTACAGTACGGTTATTTTATGCTGCGGAACGAATTATATGTTTTAACATGTATTTCTATGGGAAAATGCGTTTCGTATAACGGACGTTTCACTTAACGGACGTGCACCTGGAACGGATTAAGTACGTTGTACGAGGCACCACTGTATTTTGGCAATCGCATTACAGAAAATCTTGAAATTTTGCACACTGCCAAAGAAACAATTTTCTTTCAAATGAGATATTCAGAATTAGTTTAAATGTTTGGGGCAGAGAAATTGATTCCTGAAAATTGGCAACTCTAATTCTTGTAAATATAGTCAGTCAGTGACTTTTTTACTTGGCAGATAAAGTAGAAGTTTATTAATAAATCCAGCATCTACAGGACTAGAGAGGTGTCAGATTACAGGACTGTAAAGTATTGAATTTTTAGCAGCGAGGGAGCAAAAGAAGTGCGACCTTGTCAATTGGACCATGTGTGGTCGGGCAGTATACCACTTGTAAGGTGTTGACTTGTAAACAGAGGGTAAACAAAGGGAGCACCAACTTTGTCAATTGGACCCACCTGTGGTTAGATGATAGACCATTTGCCATGCAAACAAGTGGCGGATGTTTATGTAAGCTTCACTCTTGTTGGATGACAGCAGACCCGAGTGTAATCTGTTCGGGTTAGAAAGGGTTGTGATTGGTTGGAAGTCCCTGTCCAAAAAACCCTTAAATTGCAGGGTGAACAGGAGAGAAGGGCAAGAGACTGATACACGGTAGTCTCAGGCACTTGGGATACCCGCTGAGCATAGAGAGAGTGTTATCCTCTGGTAATCATCTCAGGGACAGGTTAATGCGGAGACCAGACCGATCGTGCAGTTGAGCCAACTCCACAAGCTGACAGAGGCCTCTCCAAAGTTTAACAGTTCCCAGAAACCAATCTAGTACATGAGTCACCACGTATTATTATTCTGTATATTGTGGTCATATGCACGTGGTGGGATTTATTTAACAAAGAGATGCATATATTAGAATAACAAAATGTTCTTTTATTTTACTCGTATTTTAACACTTGACAGGATCTTCCAGATTCCGACACTCCTAGTTCCTTTTCGTTCACAAAAAAAACTTCTTCGAATCCACAGGCAGAACAAAAAATATCATGGTACAAAGAAATACTTATCAATAACTTAAGTACTAATTTTTCTAATAAAGGAAAAAGAGAAAAGGATAGATAATAGGATAGGTAGCAATATAGTGCCAAGCAAGAATGGGTACCCAATAGTTGACGATTGAGGTGGTGGTGATCGGATGATATCGTTCTGGATTGTGGGGACCAATTGTAGGTGAAAGTCGACCAATATTCCGCTATAACCCTTCTGATGTCCTTAATTCAAGATACTCCTTTCCTCTTGCGTTTCGGATCTTTAAAAACTTTTCATTACTTTCTCCGGCTGATGCAAAAATGACTGGAAACCTCTCCAACGCATATTCTCTCTTCCATGCTCCAGTTAAAAGTGCCATAAGTGTCTTTCCTTTTGCCCTCTGGGCTATACCTTTCTTTTGTCCCCTACCCAGGTCACCCACCACCACACTTGGAAGAAAGTTCCAGGAAGTTATATACAAAAGAACAAAGAAGGAAGGAAGGGAAAATATATAAACATATTTAAAATATATGGACAAATAAAAATATACTGGTGTACTACCACAATATATATTATGTTTTCGAACTTGTACTTTCTGCATATAGAATCTGTAAATAAACTGTAAATATTATCAATTTGAGTGTGGAGGTATGCTTTCCATCGAACTGGATCACTATATCGAATCGTGATACACATGGAAACCAACTCAATGAGACGGAGTTTGGGAAAGAACTTCACTAAGATCTTCACTAGGACTTTTTTTTTATCTTAACAAAATTTAATAAATTACAGTGGTACCTCGGTATACGTCTGCTTTAGAATACATCCAATTCGGAATACGTCCTGTTTGGACGAAACAAATTCTGCTCAGTATACGACTTTTGTTCTGTATATGACTTAATTCAATTATACACGCAATCTATGAACAAGTAGCACTATCGGTGTACTAGACCAGACTAGACGTTCGCGGTGCAACAGTTTATAACTTTGTTAAATTTCTTCTGATTTTAATTTGTAAGTAAAATTTTATTGTTTTTATTAATCATGAATCCCAAAAAGGCAAATGAAAAGCGACAGAAAACTAAAAAAATGACTAGAATTACAATGGAACTGATGAAAGAGATTGTTGAGAAATACGAAGGTGGCACGCGTGTTCGAGATTTTAACTGTTGTTTACCGTATTCCGAGAACGACGATATGGACAATCGCGAAAAATAAAGACATTATTAAATCTGCTAACGTTGTGAAAGGGGTTAAATCAAGTTCTAAACAGAGATTGAAGACATTAGATCATGTCGAGAAATTGCTTTTGCTTTGGATAACTGAAAAACAGTGCTGGAGACAGCGTATCGGAAGCAATTATTTGCGAGAAATCTAAAAAGATACATGCTGATCTCACGAAAAATCAAGCATGAACTAGCCAGGAAAGCGAGGTGTTTAAAGCCAGCCATTTTTTTTTTTACACAAGAACGGATTAATCATTTCTACATTACTTCTTATGGGAAAGGTTGATCTTGTATATGTCCAATTCAGTAAAAGTCCAAACATTAGGAATGGATTAAGGTCGTATACCAAGGTTCCACTGTATATGTGATCTGAACATTGCAGACTATTACTGGTATTTTTTTACCAGTACTTTCCACTTGTGTTTTTGAGTTGTTCACATGCTCTTTAATCAACCTGAAAATGATATAGTGTATGATTAAACTGTGTTAAGATTGATTGAAAAATCTACAAAAATGTTAATGAACACATTATTGCATTAAATCAAATGAACAGATATTATATGTTCTATTGTATTTTTTGAATTTTCATTCTGTTTTTTGTTTGACCTGACAATGTCTTTTTGATATGGAAGAAAATGTTTGTTTTTGTTAAATTTATTTCATTTTCTACTGATTATTGTATTTACACATTAAACCAGTATTATAGTAGTGATTCTTTTAAAAATTAAACTTGTGTATAAAATAGTTTATTATTTATTTTTAATTTAATTTTTAGTTGACAGATTTATTAAGTCTAGGGCATTTTTAACCTGATCAGTCTGTAGAATCACAATTTTCATTGTTTTTTTAATGCATAATTTAATTTGTTGTAACATATTAATATAAATAAATGTTTAAAATTTTTAAAAGCTTTATCATTATATCATCATTTCTATTTATGAAATTCAATATAATTGCTGGCAAATGACAGTTGCTGTCTCAATTACAACTTGGAATGATAATTTGTTTTTCTGTTACATTAACAATAATTATTATATTTTTATTTTATACTATTTATAATTTTAAAAAAAATATAATAACTGTTATTCTTATAGATAAAGCTTCTATTTCTAATTAACAATAATAGAAATGACAAATACTCATCATTGGCATGTTGATGATATTGATGATGCCTTGGCTGCTGATTTTGATGGAAGCCTTTCTGGTTTGGGAATGGAGCTGGGTACTGCATCGTTTAATATGAGGTAGAAATTTTTAATATTATTATATTTATTTATTTTTGTATGGTTGTATTAGTTAAATGTATTATTAAATTAATAATCTTGTAAAATAGTAATTAATAGTAATATCAGTAATAAAAACTAAAATAATTATTCTACGAATAGAAAATTATGATCAAATTAATGTAGAAATTTATATTTTTTATGATTTAGTAATAAAAATATCCAAAAGATTATTGAATAACTGTCTATTATAATAATAATTTATTTCACAAATGATCTCACCAGTGGCTGAGCAGATAAAATTGCTGAACCCTGGTAGTTTAACCCAGATTTGCATCTGAACAACAGACCAACAGGCTGGTTATGAGGAGTTTTCTGGGTTTTTAAATGTAGCATCTAAATTGGGACCAATTTCTCATAGAAAAGGCCTCCTAGGAATCATTCTAGTAAATCACCATTGAGTTCTGTTATCTTATTCCATCAAATCAAACCTATCTAACAATGTTTCTTGTAAAATATAAGTGTATATTTAGGTTTAATTTCACTATAATTTATTAGTGATACTGTTAAAATGCTTCACTAGTAACTTGTACAGATAACTTCACTATAGCATTCACCAATAAAAGTACAGTTTGTCAACAAGATAATCCAATATTTGGTGTTAATTACTTTAATGTCATAAAAAGTATACTTAATGCTTTAATGTTTTAAATACTTACAAAAATTTCCTGAGAAAGACATTTTTTGTAAATGTTGAAAACATTAATATTAAGTGTATTTTTTTATGATGATAATACAATATTTGGCATTAATTACTTTATCTTGTTGATAAACTTATATTCTAATTGATTAACTTAACTTGGATTATTGACTGTATTTAGCTTTAAAAAGAAATTAAATTTTTATCATAATTATTTCTAATAAGAACTAATCTAGAAAAACTTTTAAATCAATGTTTTCATTTATAATTAATAGCGTTTAGTTAACATAAGATGATATAAAATAAAAGAAATAAATTAAATATTTAACAAATAAAATTGTATACAAACTTCAATTAAAAAATTTTATTTTTAATGCCAAATGTTAATGATTTTACTAAAAATTATGAATATAAAATTGGACTAATAGAGTTATTTAATGATGTGGTGCTACAGATGGCTGTATTACCATTTATTTGTTACTCTGACAATTACGTAATCAGAATCATTGAAATTTAATAATTATTGGCTAAATTTAACTTTCTAATACACTGGGTTGAATATATATCTTCTTACTTGTAACCAATTAACCGGAGCAACATTCGTTTTTAAAATGCAAATGTTTTTGACGTCCCTTCTGGGCTCTTCTTCATGCATTCACTCAAAACTGTTGCAAGCTGGTTCTTAAACTTTCAAATTTTCTTTGAAGGCATTCCATAACATATTCCGTTGCGAGCTGGTTCTTAAACTTAATATGTAAGCGAATACATTCGAAGGAAATTTGAAAGTTTAAGAACCAGCTTGCAACGGTTTTGAGTGAATGCCTGAAGAAGAGCCCAGAAGGGGCATCAAAAACATTTGCATTTTAAAAACAAATGTTGCTCTGGTTAATTGGTTACAAGTAAGATTTATATTGGCTAAATTATTTAGCATTTAGAATAATTCAATTTTAATAATGAATCATAAACATCTGATGCTGAGAAATGTTTATTAAACAAACATTAATGAGACTAAGACAAAACTTTTCTCACTTTGTTTCTAGCCGTTTAAACACTGAGTACAAACGTTTTTGGCCTTTTAAAAAGGCCAAAAATGTTTAAATGGCTAGGAACAAAGTGAGAAAGGTTTTGTCTTACAAGTTAGACTTTTTAAATAGTTCTAGCTTCAAATGCATAGAAATGCAAACATTAATGTTTTTGACCTAATATGATAGGCTATCTTCAGATGCAATGGAAATTTGAACTTATTTTTAACTTAACATTCAAATGACAGAACGTTCAAACACTTTTACATTTAAATTTAAAACAAAATACTAGATAAATTAACAAATAAATAATAAAATAAAACAAAATATACTGAATGACTAATACAATAATGATGTAAATAATATAATAAAATAAAAAATAACATACTTGCAAATATCAAATATGGTAGCTGTTTTATATATTTCCGTAAATGTCTGTCTCTTAATCCGAATAAAAATAATTTTGGTAGACCGTCACACAGCTTAATGCAATTAAAAGTAGATGAAACACTAATTGATCTTATAAAATTTGCTTATACCAGAAATTATTTCGAAATATATGATAATTTTTACAGACAAATTGATGGTGTTAGTATGGAGTCAAAGATGTGGCCAAAACTAGCTGAATTCGTAATGAAAAACATAGACGAAAAAATACAAGATATCTCTGGTGTAAAGAGTATGATGAGATATGTAGATGACTATTTATTAATTTATAATAATAAAATAACAAATGATAAAACAATATTAAATATAATAAATAATATAGATGAAAATATAAAATTTGATATTGAATTAGAAAAATAAAACCAAATAAATTTTTTAGATATAACAATAACTAATGAAATAGACAAATTTTCTTTTAAAACGTTTAAAAAACCATGTAACGTCAATAAAACCATCAACTATTACTTTAGCATTCCTGACACTATAAAAAAGAATACATACATGATGGCTTTAAAAAATATATATACAAGAACTACTAATAATAGAGAACAAAAAATGGAATTAAAAGAATTAGATGAGAAGTTTATATTGAATGATTACCCCATGAATAATCTAAAACTTTGGCACAAACAGTATTATAAAAACAGATTTAATACTAAATATAAAAAAGACAAAAAAAAAATAAAGCATTTCTGTATATTAATAATATTTTTAATGACTGCAGCAAGATCCTAAAAAAAGAAAATATTGTTTTGGCCCCATCTTTGACCAATAAAATTTCACATAACGTTTATAGTGGGGATGGGAAAAAATACAAAATGAATGTTGATAAAATAAAAAAGAAAGTGTTGTTTATAAAATTAATTGTAATTGTCAAAATCCAAAAAATTATATAGGTGAAACTAGTAGGATATTAGAATTAAGAATTAAAGAACACAAAGCAGCTATAAGATTAAAACATAATAATTCACCGTGGTTCAACCATATCAAAAATAGTAATTGTCAGATTGATAGAAACAATATAAAAATACTCCATTCCAAAGAAGATAATTATGTACAAATGCAAATTTAAAGAACATATTGAAATTATAAAATCTAATAGTGAAAATTTAGTTAATATTTCAAATGGTATGCAAATTGACCAACAGTGGTATAATATTGTAGAGGGCGTGACGGTAAAAAAATTAACTTCAGAGTAATAAACTGTAATGTATTGCAAGTGAATGGAAGGAAATATATTGTAAAAGTATGTATTTTTTTTCGTAATTTGTTAAACAATTCTCGTTATCATTGTAAATAACCTATAAAATAGTTACTATAATTACAGCTATCCTAAAATAAAAGTTTGTAATAACAAAAGCACCTTGGAGAAGTTTTAAATAATGTACTTATGGAAATTTCTATTATATGTTATAAAAATATCAAAGGAGGTATGTATTCTAAATATTATATGTTGTAAAAGATTAGTCTTTATTGTTATTAAATAACGGGTATGGTATTATTATAATTATAGTCACCTTGTTATTATTTTTTAAAAAGGTGTACCTTTGTGAATTTTATTGTCGTATTTAAGAAAATCTTTTCAATATTATCCAATATATGGCCATGGTTTGTGAAAACAGAACCAGAAGTATCATATGAATGTAACAGAAAAACTTTTTAAGAAAAGAGATGAGCCTCTTGTTTAAGTATAAAAGAAATTTTTTGTCATAAAATATAATCTACATGCGTCAAAATTGTTAAATGAGTAATTATAGTTTAATGTTTTTTGTAGAGTTGCACTGAAGAAGGGCTTAGAAATTAAATAAGCTCGAAATGCAAAATGGCTGTGTGATAGTCTACTGAAATTATTTTTATTCGGATTAAAGAGACAGACATTTACGAAAAAATAACATATGTAAAATAAAATAAAAATAAAAATGAAATAAATACACAAAAATGCCTCTAAGTGTAAGGGCAAGTGCGGGCTAAGAATTTTTGTGTTTTAGTTTTTCTTTTATGTAGAATTTCCATGCGGAAGCTAATCCATCCGCATCCCTGGCATTAATACAATCATCCTTTAATTTACTTTTATAGATTTCAATTTTTTCTTCGTGCATTGCTAATGATGGGGAATGTATAGCCCTAAGGATAGTTGCTTCATTCCATTTAACCACAGAGTCCTCTGCTTGTGCCATACAGGATAATACTGTGTTGCAGTGCCATTTATTAATGTCATATTTGTGCTCCTTAAGTCTGATAGCTAAATTCCTTCTTGTGACCCTAATACAGTTCTTCTTAATTCCTAATTCCTGATTTTCAAATGGAATTTTATATATGCCCCCTTTTTCTTCTTTTTTAATCATGTCTTTATCATTTCTTAAAATACTGTATAAATTAGGCACTCTTTTGAATACTATTTTTGAGTGCTTTTTGTCTGACACTTATTTCATGATGTTCTTGATGTTTGGATTATAAGTGAATTTGGAGATTTTAAACTGATTTGTTTCGGTTCTTATTATATTGCCACTTTTATACCTTTTAATTAGTCATTCTATTGTACTCTTTTTATATCCCAGGTTTGAAGCTGTTTCTTTGATTCTATTAATTTCTTTGATCCTGTCCAGCACATTAGAGCAATATGAATATGCTATTCTAATGAGTGCATGTAAAGGAAGACAGTTTATATCTGCAGGGGTCATTGAAGTTAGCCAGAATGTATAGTGGACTGTGTGTAGATACCTATTTTATGTAGATACCTGTTGTTATACCATCTCATTTCAATTGAATGTCTATATCTAAAAAAATGTATCCATTCATGACTTTTTTGCTCTAGTTTAATTTAAGTTTTAATCTATTGTTGCTATT